ATATGATGCTTCCCAAAACTTGTCTCTCAAGCTTTTTGCTTTGAATAATATCCTATAGTTAGAAAACAAGTGTCTTGCACAGTACCTGTGGTCACAATTAGGGACCACTTGCTCAAAAGCAGGCAGTAAACTTTTTTGTTTGTCGGATATAAAGGTGAAGCTAAATTGATTTACAATTTGACAATCCTTCACCAATAGCTCCAGAAACCAAATCCAACAATCCTTGCACTCTGATTCCACAACTGCATAAGCAATCACCCAGGTTTCATTGTTGGCGTCTATACCCACATCAGTTAACAGTTGCCCTGCATAAACACTCTTCAAAAAGCACCCATCTAAACCTATAATAGGCCTGCACCCAGCTTTGAATCCTTCCTTAGCAGCTCCTAAACAAACATACAACCTTTGAAACAAAGGTTGTCCCAACTGTTGTTGGAAATCACACTTACCATTGCTGTGGTTCCTGGGTTACTCTTCCTTAATTCCTCACAATAATCCTAAATTCTTGAATATTGTTCATTGAAACTGCCCTCAATCAGCTTTAGTGCCTTATCCTTTGCCCTATACACTTGTTGTCTTGACACCCCTATATTATAATCCTGCTCAACAGTCTGCTGGAATGACCTGATTGGCCACTGGGGATTGGACTTCAAAGTCTCAGCATATTTCTTGCTTATCCATGTTGACTTCACAGTAGCTTTCTCCCATAGCTGTGTACATGTGTGCTCACCTACATATGTCTTCACTTGCAATGTGTTCTCGTGTTGCATTTTGGAAGCATATATCATCCACCCACAATCTGGGTCTCCACAAATCGCCTTCAGCTTCAAAGCCTCATTCTTAATAAACACTACATCCTTATTCTGCAAAATCGAGTATTCTCTGACAGCTGCCCTAAACACCTTACAATCAGTAAACAACATGCCAATCTCAAACTTTGGATTCGCCATGTCAGTTGCAGTATTGAACTCTGGCCAATTCTTATCAACTTCCTCATCAGAATTATACTTGGCATAATCCTTGCACTCATAATCTTCATAATCCAATTCAACATCTGTAGGCCAATCAGGAGCAGCCTCCTTCCCAGTTTCTTTAACCCCTGTCCATTCAGTTTGGTCATCCACCCATTCATTAAAAAAAAAAACCATCATCTTCATCTGCATCTTCATCTTCACTAAAATTCTTGGGAATCATATATTCTGAGTCCTCACTATCAGAAGCATCATCATCTTCATCTTCAAAATCTGCAGCATTTGCCAATCTGCTTCCACTTCTCAACATCATGGAATGCCTTTTGGACTGGGTCTTGACGCCATCACCCCTTCCTTCCACAGCTTTGTCTTTATGGTGAATGGTTTTTGTCCTCCTCAAACTGCCGCATCTTTTTTTACCAAAAGCACACTTCACCCTATGAGACATGTCTTGATCCTTGCCTTTGCCTTTGTCAAAACAACCCTGAGTTGGCTTTTCTTGGACCTGGTCAAAATTCTCCTCATTATTCACAGTGGCAGTTTCTTTGTCTTCTTTAGAAGCTTCATCAGTGAACCCATCTTTAGTCAACCCTACTTCATTCAATGCTTTGCCTTGTCCACCTGCTTGTTCAGTGAACCCTACTTCATTCAATTCTTTGCCTTCTCCACCTGCTTCTTGATTCAACCCTTCTTGATTCAACTATTCTATTACAACACTTATTTTTTTCACATTTTGCACCAGGGATACTCCCCCACCCACTGGAACAATGGCACCATAATTGTCATCAAGCTCTTCAATGACTACCCCAGTGTTGGTCCCAACATCATCATCCAAATTTATAAATATGTTTGAAGCCACTTGACTGTAAAACTGCTCTTGACTGCATGCCAAGACATGTTCTAAAAATATATTTATCAACCTAGTGTCTAGCACAAATACTAGCATGTCTAACACATCTGCATCCTCACTTAGCTTAACTAGGCCACCATCAAAATTATCACCTGGAATACTGTACCAGTAGTTAATCCTGCTGTCATGTCCTAACTCCTTTACCATCGCATCTATCTCAGTCATTGACATTCTATCCTATCACAATAATCGAACCAATCAACAGACCCATTCACATAATAGTTACCTCTTATTTCACCATTGTGGTACATCTGGATAGAAAATCCTGCCTCATCCCCTGCAATTCGAAAGCCACACATGAATTTTAGCAAACAAAAATACATGTAAGCCTATTTACAAATACACACATACAAATACAAATACAAATACAAACAGACACATACGCACACACATATACAAATACAAACTTTCTATGTCAGTACACACATAGACAAAAGGTAAGATTCCCAGTGGTTGAAGGACCACATACAAAAGCCAAAGTTTACTTCCGTTAACCACCTACCATTCACACCATTCCATTTACCAATTAAATAGACACAGTGATACCGACACCTAACTCGAAACTCACAATCCAATATAAAAGCCAAACTTTCACTCCACACCAAACTCGAAACTGAGACTCTCTATTTGAAAGTTTCACTCTGAAACATCAGCTGCCAAGAACCTTACACAACAATAAGCCATATGTACCGTAGAAAGGTTCTTCATATCCTTTCGGGCGAACTTCCCAACTCATATTCTTCATATCTTTCGTATTCACTCCATTTTTCCTCTATTTTTGCAGTCTATTTCAAATATTTGCTCTCCAAAACACGAACAAACCCTCTTCTCTCCTCTATGTCTCTCTCAATACACGAACAAAACTTAGTTTCTGAGTTTCTTTGATTTTTCCAACTCTGGGTAATCAAGGCATCGCCTTGGAACGCGTGCCTTGAAGAGAGAAGGCGAACGTTGGTCTTTTTTTTCGGCCGAAATTGCCCTTCGTGTCGTCTCTGTCTAACTGCTGTTTGGGTATGAGGTGGGTCCCACGCATGCCACATCAGTATTTAACGTTTGACTTTGACGGTCAATGTAATGAAGGGTGTCAATTGGTAATACTTCGAAATGTTGGGTAAGATATTGACTTAAATGAAACCTTAGGGCCCATTTTGATACTGACACTAAACCTGCAGGGACTAAAGTGTAGTTAATCCTAAAAAAATTTATATTATATATGTCAAATTTGTGCACATAGATGTGAGCAATCAACAGTTGATGAGTCCAATAGAAGTCATAAATTTGAAGGTTTAAGAGACTGAGGGAGAGCGAGAGTGCGAACGAGTGTAGGTGTAAGGGGATGAGGGGGAAAGATGATGCAAACCTGTATCTTATTTTTATTTTAGTTTTTTAAAAAATGTATTTTTGCGATTTAGAATAATTAAAATGGTTATTTGAGTAAAACAAATAGTATGAGTGAGGTTGGTTCAGTTTAAGACTACTGTCTATACGCACAAAGGTCCTCCCATGTACTCATTTTTAGGGTGAGGGAGCGGGACTGCACAGTCACAGTTGCATGATATTTTGAGGAGAGATTTTGATATTATTGATTTCATATCAATAAAATCTAATATTGATATGAAGTCTTATTTCTTTGTTGTTTTGGCATAAATCCTTGAGGCCTTTGCTTTCTACTTGTGTCAATACCGATTTTTATAAATTTGGCCATGGAAGTTGGAAACCCCAATTTTGGTTCACATTTCTCGAAGGTAGGGTTAAGTGAGGAGGAATGAAGGTAAGTTGTATGGTTCGCCAAATCCTCTCCATAATCATCCTCATTACTGTAAAGGCTTTAACAAAGGGCATCGTACCCGTTTCACATTTCATACTCTGGAACGAAGCTCCAGTTAGATTAAACATCAAAGTGAATCTTTTTAATAAGATTTCAGCATCCTCAACCTGGTCAAACTCTAATAATATTCCCATACATGTCATGGCCAAAGCTCAAAGATGACATATTAACAGGGCTGGAAAATGTTGACTATGGAGACACCAGCATAGTTCGATCATGGGGCCTGCCTAAATGAGTAACATGTCATTACAACACGAGCATTGTCAATAGCAATCAAACATGCTCAATTTTGAAATGAGCCCTGTAATGATCAAGTGAAATGTACTCCACTGTCACAATTCGATCATCAAAAACCCGTCCGTGTAAACAATGTGCTGCCATTAAAGAGGCTTCTATTCTTCCAAACTCCACAAAAACGCACCCTGGCTCAAATATGCTTCCAAGATCATAATCATGCTCCTTCCCATGATTCTGTTCCTTAATTTCAATCTTCTCATTAGCATCCGACTCTGTTCCCAAACTACAGTCCTTTCCAGCAAAACTTCTGAGTTTCTCACCATTAACTTCCTCTTGAGTTGATCCCTCTTCTTCAGTCATTAATTCGTTTTCCAAACTCAAGTCATTTATTTCAATAGCTTCAGTAGCCTTATCATCATAGCATTCGGAAGCATCTTTCGTGCTGTTCAGTTGGTTGTGGAGTTGCTCAGGAACCCTGTTAGATGGGTTCTCGCTTCCTTTGATTTCGATATCTTCACCAAATTGACCTATTTTACATGATTTTTCCTCCATAAAATCATCTGTAGGCTCATCATCTAGAGCAGTTACACTAAAGCAGTTACCTTTGGTGACTTCATCTTCTTTAACTTCTTTGGCATTGCTAGGAAACTCCACGAACTTATTATCAATATGTTCTTCCAAAGTATCTGTTTTTGCTCCCTTTTGTTCGGACTCTAATATGTTCTGGTACCCTCCAGATTCTGCATCGTTGACGGCTTCAAATACCCCCATGGTGACGTAATTGTTGCAATGCTCGACAACTTTTACAGATTTGACAGTTCCAAACCTGCATAATTGAAGGGCTTTAAGATTTACACAAGTATAATTTATAAAGAAAACAAAAACAAAAACTGAAAATAAAATTCTCTGGGACCTGGCACACTCTAATCGCACATCTTCCAGAACTTCTTCTACCTCTGGTTCAGATAGCAGTGAAATGTGCTCTAGATTTAACTAGTTCACATTGAGGAAAAAAATATTAGGAAAAATAATAATAAACTGATCCATATAAAACATACTTCTTACTAACCCAAAATTGATCCCATAACAAACTGTCGATTTTCCTAAATAAATTAAACATAAAATCAAGCATGACAGCATACCACATTTCTGAGCTTTAGGACCTGCGAAGGTTGTTTGAGAAGTGGCTTTGCATATTCTGGGATCTCATGTAATGACGCATTTCCACTATTTTCCTACAATATGTCGATTCTTCCCTCAGTACACATCTCCAAGTAAAATAACAGACGCGGTCAAGCAATCAAATATCGAAAGTTGTTTGAAGAGGGAAGAGGGTGGTCTTCATACCAAGGATGATGCATCATGAATTGCTTGAACTGCAGTTAGCACTCTTCCACCCAATTTCATACCATTCAGACCCGCACACGCTTTGAGAGTAACCGACTGGTCTACATACTGATGCAGCATCCAGATGTCATTAGGAAAACAGGGGGGAGGGGGAATTGATTTATGAATAGTGCAATATTACAGTTCTAAATCAACAGTGGTAAACACTAAAATGCATGCTTCTCTTCCAAATAAATGTATAAGAACAACAGTATTTCAAACAAAGACAGATAAAACTGACGCTGTTACCAAAAATTAACACATAACGTTTACAAAGAATATACTAGAAACAAAAACTAACTTGAGCCATAAATGTGCTTTATTACCTCCAGAAAAGCACATGGTTCATTAAGTTCCTTATTGACCTCAAAGTGGTATGCCTTCAAAGGTCCAAAGACACTAATGATCTCCATAAGCTGGAAAAGCAGCATAAAAGGCCTAGTCACTAAAGTTGATGGATGAACATAGGAAAAGAAAATGAAAAGAGGAGATGAATTTTTGGTGGGAAAAGAGAACTATTTGCATCATAAACATCGTGTCATATTACCATTTTTTATGAAAGAGACTTAGAAATTCCACCAATGAAAATCTGCATAAATAAGGGGAAAATGAAAAATGAAAAAAGAAAAATTAATGAATTTCCAGATAACTACAAAGGCAAGTAGCATATCACAACATTGAGATGTAGTGTGGAATCAAAGAACAAGATAATATCAATCTTCATAAACTATGAAGCTTGGATATATTAGTAGAACCTAGATGCTAGACATCACAAGAAAAAAGGTCTATGTTGTCCGTGGAGCAAAATTGATGCAATAATACGAGTCTACACATAGGTCTTTTCATGGAAACTTAAATAGCCTCTGGGTACGCACTAGAGACTCTTCAGCCTCTGAGAGAGAGAGAAAGAGAGAGA